GTCCAACATGACCCAGTGGACACTTCTCACAGGCCATGGTTTTGAAGACCCTTATGCCAGAGCTTCCAAGTGACACACAGGGACCAGTGACCTGCACAGCCACATGCGAGTGCACCAAGACACATGTTTCCCACAGAAGTGTGGCAACAGAACTTCTATTTAAGAGAAAAGGAAAGAAAGGTTTCCTAGTAGAGGGAAACACTCTACGGTAGCAAAAATCGTTTACAAACATAATGGAAATACTGAGAAAGCTTCTTTTCCAATTTTGGAGGTGGAAGGAGGTGAAGCAAAATACTTCAAAATTTGGGGTTAGTGACTGCTAAAAGACACCGTTTGTTTCTGCATTGAGCATACACTACATCCCTGCATGAGATGGTCAGGGCATACCAAGAGCAGGTCATAACACAAGAGAACACTTCATTCCTACAGATCCCACAAAGCAATTTCCAGCAGTCACACACTCATGCCTCCCTCTCCTAAATAGGTCGAGCAGGAATTTGTCAACCTGGAGTTAAGAGCTCAACTTTAGATTTCCCATTTGCCTGCTGAAATTAAACAGTTAACAGAAATCTGCATTTATTTGGGAGTTTCTATGTGCACACAAACATCAATGCAAACAAAATGCTACTACCACATTTTAGAAATGTGGATACTGCTGAGTTGAAGAAAATGGGCACAGTTCCCTTTTTAGAAGGAACAAATTGTTCAGAACAAGGACAAATGCAATAGAGAAATCAGGCACCAACTCTGTTTCTGCAGTTTCAAGCTGCTGGTACATGGATACAGTCTTTACACGATTTGTTGTTTGTCTTCTTTAATTGAGCCAACATTGTTCAAGGATCCCCCCCCAACTACCTAATGCTCTCAAGAGCAAATATTTACAGTGAGGATTTTTTATAGTTTCAGATATGTGAGAAATTAGAGAGTGCTACAGTCTTCTATCTTCTGCTGGCTACAGACAGGAGAACACCTCTTGCTCAAAAGGCTGGAGTAACTGCAATGGTAACTGCAGAAACTCGCTGCACTTGAGTGTATTTTAGATAGAAAACATGGAATAAGCTGCAAACTATGTTAAAACATCTCCTTTAGAGTGAAAGCACTTCCTATAATTATGCCACAGAAGGAGGGATTACAGAGAAGAGCAGAGCCCAAACCCATCATCACACAGGTTGAACTTGCTGCTACATCTACAATCAAATACATGCAGAACTTGATCCTGAAACCAGCCATTCCAAGGTCCTCAGCAGCCAAAAGACACACAGAAATCCAAAACATGCCCTTACCCTTTTGTGAAAGCTAGAGATTTCTTCAGTGTTTGCTGGGGTTTAATTAAACTCATTACCGCAGGTTTATCTGAGTTAATACCGTTTCTCCACAGGACACACTGCACCATGAACTTCAGGGGAGATGCAAGAATAAAAAGGCTAATGTTACTTCTCTTAATCTTCTTCCAAAATGAACTGAAAGCCCCACAGTAATTTCAGGCTACCTGATTCTCACCTCTAAGGATTACTTGTCTCAGAATGGAATAATCTGATGTCTCCAGAGGACTAGCAGGGATGAGCCAAGAAAGCGTTTTCAAGCCTACATTTACTTTTCAGATATTTGTGTAAATAGCTATAAAGCAAGAACAATAAAAAAAAAATTATTATTTTTTCAAGTGACAGTCGTCCCCTCTCTCAGTTTGCCAAGTTCAGTAGCCATCATAATAAAGCCTGAATCTTCAGTGTTGGAGAAGATGGAATTTAACTCCCTTGCACCATCAGAAAGCAACAGGACCACAAAGCACAAACACCCTTTATAGGATTTCTTGAGGTCAATAATTCAGGTTATATAAGGTTGTCTTACTATGTTTTTAATTAAGGGTGTTATTTTAGGTAAATATTCCCACGCTGCAACTACAACTGTCATGAAAACACCACGTGTTAGCCCCTGGAAGCTTAATAGATGTCACCATGAAGAACTTCTCACTAATTAGATATGAATCTGGCTTCCTTTAGAACCTTGTTAGATAAAAAGCCTTGACTGATCTATCTTCCATTTCTCTGAGCTCAGGCAATGAAATTTAAATCACAGAGAAGTGCTAATGATTATTTTTCAAGACAGCTTTTCATTACTGAAATTACTCTTTGCAACATAGCAAACCCCAAATCTCTTTTCTAATCCTGGCAATCCCTTTCAGTTGTTCTTTGATTGGCTATAAATCTGATGTCTCAACTCATGATGTACATCCTGAACGTGGATCCAGGATTTTTCTGGAGGATAGATTTTTCTAGATCTCTTGTCACTTTTGTATTGGTGGATGAATGGGAATTTGTAGTAAAAGAGTGACCACTGAAAAGACAGAAGGGTTTGACAAGTTCCTGTGTCTTAAGTGTCATCTCTCTCAGGGAAGAGCGAGCATAGGTGGGGTGTTCTACTAACCAGATACACATTCTTCTACTCAGCATTTTTAATAACCTGTTTCCTATTGGCATCACATCTTCTTCAGCTAAGTCCCCCTTTATGCCCATTTCTCACATTCATTTGTAGTCTAGGGCTACCCAAGCTCCTAAAGGTTACTGCTGAACACCACTAGACAAAAGAAAAACAGAAGAGGAAGGGAAGGTGGGGTGGTTGCACTGGAAAAAGGAGAGGCTTTGGCAGATGGAAAACAAAAAGGGAGAAAGTGGGTGGGAATAAGGACATTAGCAGTTCCCCTTGAGCTGGTGCTATCTCAGTGGCAACAACCCACTGAGTAGTGAAACATTCCATATGATCCCATACATCTTTGTCAGGGCTGGAAGACATGCACTGTGAGGAGCAGGTAAGGCTTTGGATTTGTCTGGTTTGAAGAAAAGGGGTGAGCTCATTGCTCCTGGCAGCTACCTGAAGAGCAGAAGTGCAGAGGGAGGTGCTGATGTATTTTTCCTGGGATTCACTGATAGTGCATGTGGGAATAGTTCAAAGCTGCACCAAAGGAGATTCAGACTAAACATAAGGAAGCATTTCTTTACCAAGAGGCTGGTCAAACACTGCAGCAGACTTCTTAGAGAGGCAGTCAATACCCCAAGCCTGTATGTATTCAAGATATAGTTGAACAAGATGATCTTCTTAGGTTCCTTCCACCTAAAAATATTCTATTCTAACTACCTGATTACTCTGGAGAGGGATCCCATCCCTCCACAGTCAGGTAAGGGAGTGATCCTCCTGCCAAAGCAATGAAAGCTGCTATTTTTGGATGTGAGGGGTTCTGTCCAAAATACTCCAGAAAGCACATGCAAATGATTGCTACTGTGGGATGCAAGACTCTCACAAACAGGTTAATTTTCTGCACTGTTCCCAACAAACTGGCATCAAGGCTCAGCACCAGCCTACAGGATGGTAGTTCCTTGACAATTCTCTTTTGCAAACAACAGCCTGGATTTATATGAAGAAATACTCCCACTTTAAATGCACACATGCTGCCCTTTGAGTAACTGGCTTTTTGCTTAATTAAAAAAACAGAGTTTCAGTACCTTCACTGCAGAGGAGAAGCAGAACAGTGCAGCAGTGGGTTGGGCTGTCAGGGCTCTGCATGAAGTCCCTCTCTCCATGGACAGCATCTTTAGCAGGACAGAGTAAGCCAAGCACTGCTTGACTTCTGTACACTTTGGCATTTCTAACACCTTTTTTCTTTTTTCCTTTTAAATTCAGTCTGCGGGATACACTCTTTTGAGAAACCACGTGCAAGCTCATCTTTTTTTCACGCCAGCTCAGCCTTTCCTCCCCTTCCTCTTCTCTCTTTCCTTTTCTCATTACTTTTCAAGGTCTAAAGGAAAACTCTGTTCAGATACTTAAAGGTTACAGTTAACGTTTAGTTCATCAGAACCTAAAAGAAAGCATTTCTGCTAAAAGGAAAGAAAATAAACAGGGTATCCTGTGATGTTTAAAAGGACAGCAGCAGATTTCCGTTAGACCTTACTGAAGGTTTTCTCCTCTGTTTGTACAAGTATTCCCTAATTATCTCAGGAAACTAATAGCTAGGTTAGTTTAAATAGGTTTTAAATAGGTTTAAATTTTGCCTTAAGTATATTAGGGAAGAGTGCACATCTCTGCAGTGTAGCGAGGGGCAGTTACTCCAGGCAAGGCGAGAGGACAAATAGCAATTGAGTCTCAAGCTGTTCACAACCCAAATATCTATCCCCAGCTCAAAGCAACAAAGCTCCCTAATTATTTTTATCTACGCAAGGTGAAATCAAATGACATTACAACACAAATCTAATACGTTATGCAGGGCCAATGTTTAATAGCACAGATTAGTTACGAAACTACTGTAATAGCAACAGACTTCAATGTGGTCTTGACTCTGTTTAAATCCTGACAATGATTTTAAGGGACAAGTTTATCCTTGTTCTGCCCTAATTATTTCAACATATTAGCACCTGAGGAATATTTGACTCAACTCCCCCTGCCCCCCCTCTTTAAATTCAGTTTATGCCCAGACCAACCAGGATTACATGACAAACATGACAGATCATTTCTTTCCCACTCCAAGAAAGTCATTAAAACTAAAATGAGAATTTAGTTAGTTATTGACAGAATCACTCTGGGGGGGAGCAGGAAGCTAAATGGCTTGTTGCAAAATGAAATTGTAGAAACTAGAGAGTCAATCAAAACACTGCCTTAGGTCATCTCATCTGTCCTCCAGCCAAAGCAGGGCTGTTGCTGAGCATCTCTGCCCCAAGATCTCTCCAACTGAGCTGATGTTTTTGGTGTGAGAAACCCATTCATAATACAGAAGATGATTTTACTGTCTCCTAAATCTTCCGTTCCAAAGTTTTACAAGCATCCATACAAGCATCAATATCTAAACAGCTTTGACACTGCAAGGTATGCCTATCTTGTGCTACTTTCCACACTGCTGTCATGCCAGCCACATAGTTGAAATGAATCTCTTGAATTTTCACACTGCCTGGGTGGTTATTTGACAATACGCATGAACTAGCTCCTAGCACATTCCCCACTCTTCTTTTACTCGCCAAGAGTAAGGCTTACACTCAAACCTGCTGGTCCTGTCCTAAAAAAAAAAAGACAATATGCCTTAAAATTAGAAAGGAATTGATCTAGTTCACAGGTACTATAATCTCTTTGTTGGCTGCATTTTATGTAAAAATAAGAAAATGCCAACAAATCTATCACATCCACAAAAAAACAGCTGCAGATACACTCATCTGGGACACAGTACAAAACTTAGAACAAGCACCTTAATTTGCCAGTTGATGGATGCCAGCTTGACTATCCCACTGAGGACAAAACAAGAGCAGCTCCAGAGCTGAAATCAAGAGCTCTCTACGTGTTCCATTGGAGAGCCACAACACTCCAGCTCAAGCTGTGAGCCATATCTACCACCTGTAGCTTGGGCTGGGAAGACAGGAAGCACACAGAAAAGATCTGCCAACAGAGGAAAGCTCTTTCACAGCAAGGTGACAAACAGAGGTCATTTGCTTGTAAACACCCTTCTCCCACTCTCCCATTCTCACCTTCCCTCCCCATGCCTGTTTGGGACTGTTCAGTTCCTCCCTGAAGAGCCACCTTCAGCCACGCACCTCTTGCTTCAGGAACTTCAGCTGCCTTGCCAGATCCCATCTCCAGGCTACAGAAATCACTGTCCTCTCATAGCTCACCTCTGGAGCAAAGAAGAAAATTATGCTTAAAAGTTAGCAAGTCTGGCCCAGCTCTGGCTCTTCTCAGTTCCCCTCATCTCACCTGTTTTTGGGTCCCTCTGTACATCAGATTGGGTGACACCCAATATCCCAGGGCAGCTAAAATCTCTTTCTGCAACAGTTCTGGGATGGGAAATTTAATGCAGTGCATGGCAAATACGTGATGCCAATAAAATCAATTTGCAAAGATGTAATTTCTAGCTTTACTAAGAAGCAAATCATTGGCATTATACTCAGTTTCATTAAGAACAGGACCAAAATATAAGCAAACTCTACAAAGAATGACCATGAGACCACCTTGCTCTGAATCTCCCTTCAGAAACTGGACACTAGTAAGAAATTAGGGAAAGAATAAAAGACCTGAGGAAATATTTAGTGCTGTCTTCCTGGGATATCCTCTTTCATTTCATTGGCATCTTGGGAACTTCTTGTATCACAGTAAACATGTTCATTGCATTTAGGTCTTTGCAGGACACGAAAAGGGCCCCTTAGCTCATCTGTACTTTTCCACAGCAATCATTTATCTATTGCATGATTTTCAGCTTTTGGTCTCTTTTTATGTGCCTATATTTCAGTTGCTGCAAGGCAAAGTTTCACCTGAATAATAGTGCAGATTTCTGAGGTATGTTTTTAATCCACCTCATGTTATACTATAATGGAGCTGGAAAATGCGTGCACGGATTGTCACAAATCTTTCTAAATTCAACAAATGTAATAATTTTTGAAAAAAACCCAACCAAACAAAATGAGCATAAATAGCAATATATATTTGTAAAGATACATCCATATGGAAACATGAAAACATAATATAAGATTGTATTACTTAAATACAAAATTCCTGGCCACGGATTCCTTGCTTGTTCTCATCAATTTCTATATCAGTATTTCCCAGAACAATTCCCAATCTACACTTTCAAATTATCACTTCATATCCAGTGCCTTCTATCCCAGGCTGACAAAATCACTGCTATAAAACTTCTCCTTTTACAGCCAAAATGGGAAACCCTCTATTAGATTATCCATTCCCTCCCTTGTAAAATAAAGAGGAAAACACCATTCCAGGAAATAAAAGTGTTTTAAAAAGACCAACCAAAGGCAATGCCTGTATGCACTGTTCTTCTTCCCCTTTGAGTCAGTAATGAAGAGGAAGGAAAGAAAAAAATATGGATAAAATAAATGTGAGAAGGAGATGTGAATGCAGCATGTTTATCCCACTTAAGGAGGGAAAGCTGTAAAATGCCATCCATTGCAAACCGGCACCCCAACACAGTCTCAGTGTTTACAAACACTTCAAGCAAACCAAACAGGGAGTTTTATTGTCCCCACTGCGCTCATGTCACCCGCTCCCCAGCACTGCAATTCCAGGGAGAGCCCTGCCAGAGGACACACGGTGCCAGTTATACAAGAGAAGCGCAGAAGCAAACATGCAGCAGAGGGGGGGGAAAAATTAAAAATATCAGCTCAGCTGCACTCTCTCTTCCTACTCTCAGAACAGCCTCCAAGTGGGCTTTGGAGTGGATTAACTTTAAAGGGCACTGAGAAACACTGACAGATTTGAGGCCAGCAGGACCCCTCTGTGTGCACACATTTCCCTGTCACTACTGCAAAATGGGATGTCTGGGGTCCACCAGCAACTGCAGGAGTCATGCAGTAATAAAAGGGGATAAACCTTCTGATGTTATCTACAAACAAAAATATATCCAATATGTTACTCTAATATCTTAGCATTGTTCAAGCAAAGATCTAAACTGCACCTCACAAACAGCAAAGAATAGGGAAACAAATAAAAAGCCACATTAAAATGAAGCTCTGCTGGACCACAGAGTTTTTACAAAGTTTAAAATATAGGCACTTCTTGCATATACGATAAAAGTGGAAAAGGTCAGAGTAGTTGTTTGGAAGTTGAAATATACCAGCAGGCTGTCCAACTGAAAATTTTTGAGACATAAACTCATTATGTGACTTGGAAAAGAAACCTGGACCAATTGCAAGCAGCCAGGATTGAGAGCCAGTTGGATTCAAATCTCCCCCATTTCCCTGAAAGAGGGGAGGAACAGAGGTGTCAAAACACAGAAGCCACACGACAACACACACCAGCGCCCCGAAAACCATCCTAAAACACATCCCGTACTTACTTTATCCCCAGGAGCCCCGGGTCCCTAGCAGCGCTTAGCGATAGTAATTCAAAATCCGTCTTATTTTCCCCTGTTATCCAGTGCAGGAGACAAACAAGACAGGGCTCCCCACCGGTGCCCCCGGTTCAGGATCGCGCAGCTTCAGGGTGCCCGGAGCATCCCGGAGTTGCGGGAGTTTCCCAGGGGCTGCTGCCGGGGCCGAAAGGCGGCGAGAGGCACTCATCCCCCATGGATGACACCATTTAGGGGGTTAGGGGTCTTTCCCCTTCCTTCTTTCCCCCTCATTCCGCCTTTTCCAGCAGAGTCGGGGACAGACAGCGCAGCCCTGCTCGGCAGCGCTGCTCCCCGCTGGGGAACACACAGTGCGGGGAAGCGCATCGGGAGACTGGGGCCTGGCGGGAAGGGGGTAAAAGGAGAAGGAAAAACACACACACACAAAAAGAGAAGAGGAGCGCAGAACTAACCTGGTTTGGGATTTTTCCTCCCTATCCACAAACATGAAACGAGGTGGGAGCCAGGAACCGGTCAGCGGTGACGGGAGAAGCGGCAGCCTGGGGCCGCCCCGAGGCGGGGATAGCGGGGCTGGGTGCGCTGCAGTCCCCGCACTCCCGTGGTAGGTGCTGACCCCGGGGATGGGCGCACGGCAGTCCGCTGAGATAGGTGCCAGCCCCCCACCAGGAGCAGGGCAGCTCTCCGCGATGGGCGCAGCGGGCTTAGGCGCAAGCCAGTCCCGCTAGGGAACGGGTGCTCATTCCCGGAGCAGCGCAGCTCCTCGGGATGGTGTCGAGCCACCCTGGAGCCAGGATCCCTTGGATAGAAGCAGCGGGGCTCGGCTCAAATTAGCCCTCTTCAGGGATAAGTGCAGGGCCGCCCACGGTGCTGTGCAGGGCAGCCCACCCCTGGGCGGTGCAAGTGCAGGGCAGCGCGCCCCGGGCGGTGCAGGAGCGGGAGCAGGGCGGCCCCGGCCGGGAATGCAGCAGGAGCGAGTCCCCCCGCCGTGTCCGGCAGCGGCGGCGGAGGCGGCACCGGCGGAGCACAATGAGCGGCGGCGCGCGGCGCGCCCCCGCGGCCCCGCTGGGCAATGACATCACCCCAGAGCCCGCCGGGGCGGGGCCACCGGCCGCCACGCCGCCTCGCCATTGGCTGACGCCCTCCAGGCGCGGGATCTTCTGGGTTTTGTAGTTTCTCTGGAGAAACCATAGCACGGCCACGGACGGGTCGGGGACTGGATTTCCCGGCAGGCGTCGCGCCGCGCGGCCGCCGTGGGGAGCAGGAGGGGTGGGGAAGGATGCGGTGGCTGACGCCATGTTGATGGCGTGGGACGCTTTTGGCTCGGGAGGAGCGGCCGGGGAGCCGGGTTAAGATGTCGGAAAAGGGCGGAGGGTGGGAGCCAGGTCTCGGTTTGAGGGGCAAGCAAGAGCTTGTGTGCGAGGGGGTAAGGAGGAAGGGGAGGCTGAGGAGCGGCCGGAGGGGCGCGGTGGCGGGCCCTGAAGGACATGGCTGGGTGTCTCCCTGCCCGCCGGTTCTGCGCGGGGCAGCGCCTCTCCGTGGCGGGAGACGGCGGGATGAGGGGTCTGAACCGGGGCTCGGCGGGGCCCGTATGCCCCGGTGGTGGGCCCTGTGCCGGGCGGGGGTCGGGGTGAGGCTGCTGCGGTCACGTCCGGGTGCGGTGCCGGGCGGGCAGGGGAGGCCTCTCTGTGCGGCGCAGGAGCCGCGGCGGCTGCAGTGGCTCTCGGGGCTGTGCTCCTTGCGCTGTCCGGGGAGAGGGGTCCGTGCGGGATTGCGCCAGCCGCTGCGCTTGGCCATGGGACCAAATACGGGCCGGGGTTAAAGAGCAGCTCTGGCCTTGGTGGGGGAGGCCGTCAGAAGGGAGCAGGCTGAGCCATGCCCTTGTCGCATGCCAGGGGACAGGTTGCGTTTGCTGTTTTGAGGCTTTTTTTCAGGGTTGTAGCTTCTGTCTGATGTCTGATAATTGCACTAATGGTGTTTGACTGTCGTAGACATAGGGCTTAGTGTGACCAGCAGGAGGAGCTTTGCTTCCTCCTAGAGGTAGCTGCCCTCAGTATGTCTGGAAAGAGGTAGGATTAGATTAGATATAAATAAGACATTTTTTATTTCAAGGGTGGTGGTGCATAGGAGGCTGCCTGGAAAAGTTGTGGCTGCCTCATCCCAAGGCCAGGCTGGATGGGGCTCTGAGCAACCTGGTCTAGTGGAAGGTGCCCCTGCCCATGGCAGGGGGGTTGCAACTAGGTGGTCTTTATGGTCCCTTCTAACCCAAACCTATGCCTCTGCGTCCATAGAGACGTAAATCAGCCTTGAAAAAGCTGAGAGAATGGATGAGATGAGGCACCTCAGTAGTTGAGCTAACTTGCTTGCTCGTTATCTTACCTGTGCTTGCTGTCTAGTGTTGGCGTGGCTTAGCCAGCTGACTAGGTTCTGTCTTAGTTTCAACGTACCCTCTGGCTGGCATCTAGGACGTAGGCTAGAATTTTGACCAGCGGGTTTTAGACTTAATTGTACTGAACGTCACCCCTGCTTTTGCTAGGCTTTTGTGTTGAGGATTGGGAAATGATCTGCTCACCAAAAGAGAGAGTAACCAAAGCTCTGTTAGGCTTAAGGGGACCAGAGTTCCCTGAAACGATGTGTAGAAGACCTTTGATGTAAACTGGACAGGAGGATGCTCAAGGTATTGCATGGCTTGTGAAATAATACCCTTTCTAGCTACAAGTGGTTCCTGTGAAATAAAGCACTTTATTACCTCAAGAAGATACTCAATTGAAAAGAGTTGTGAAGAGTTTTGCAGACTTGCTTGATGTCTTAGCTAAAGTCCAGTAGTGGTACACCTCAGGACAAAGGGGTCTGTGAGGTTTATTTCATACTTTGGCTCCTCTTGGAGGTAAGTAGGATGTATTTTCTCAGGTTATTGTCTCATAATAACTACACAGGTATTGTATTTGCCCCAGGAGACACTCGAGTGGGGGAGGGAGGATGTCGTGAGATGTTCTGTGATGCATTTACTTCACCTGAACGTTGCAGCCTTTCAAGATCTGCTGGTATTACAGCAATGTGTACCATTCTTCTCTGGCTTTATATGCGGCTCTCTCCAGCTAAAGAGTCAGAACCAATTGCTTGCCGTCCTGTAAAAAGTCCAATGTCCTGTGAGTGCTTCTCCTCGTGTCCCATTTTGCTATATTCATGACTGAAAAAAAAGAGGAGGTGAAGTGCTCTGTTGCTGCTGTACCTTTCATTAATAGTTCCGTACGTCTGAAGAATTCTGGATTACAAGTACAGCCCCTCCTTTTCTACTTCCGTTTCTTCTCTATGTGAATACCTTTAGATAGGTGAACTGTGAGTGAAATAAAGGGGCAGTGGCATGATGACTTCACAGTTACAACAGTTGTCCACAGTAGATTTTAGCCCTGTGCTTTTATCTGTGCAGCTGATACCTGGTACCGATGGTAAGTATTGCAGTGGAATAATCTAGGGTAAGCTCAATTGTCTTTTCTAGAACTGGCAGCAAAAGTGTATGTGAAATCTGCTTCCAGAATGATCTGCTGGCCTAATGACAGCATGTTTTGTTACTTAAACTGGTTTAGAAACAATTGCTTTTACCTGCAGTGGTTTTCTTCTCTCCCTTCCCATCTCACTGGAGTCAGTGCTGCTGCTCTGAGGAGGTTGCAGTGCACCTCACTTTGCAGGGAGTTTTACTTCATTGTTCTTACTGTTTATATCTTATTTCTTTATCTCTAGATTCCCTGATGTCTCAGCAAAGAGTTACTATAGCATATCAAAATGTAGGAAAAAGGAAATTACTTCAGAAACTACCCAAGTGAATGCCTGATGCAAGAGACAAGTAAAACAGTTTTCTCTGTGTGTGTAGTTCACTTCAATCAGCTTGGTAGTGTCTGATACTTGTCAGTGTATGGATTTTACTCATTGTTGACAACTTGTTAGAAATGTTAATGATGAAACCTATTTTGTATGTGTCAAACTCAGATAGTCTGTTCACCTGAAAGCACTAATGCACAAGTCTCTCCTGACCCAACAGATCTTCGTTGCAAGACCCACAAGAAGCTTACAGTCCTATTGCAGAAATAAGGGTTTTGTTGGCTTTTCATATGAAAATATACAAGGTGATGGTAGAATTGGAAGCCTGCTTTCGGCTTTTCCTAAACACGCGGGTATGCTCTACTTTAATGCTGTTTATGGAAACTCACTCTGGTGTGTGTCTGGTCCTCAGCCTATGAAGCTGATATGTTTGTCTGTACTTGCACTACTATGCTGACATCCTACACTGCAAAAGCTATGAGTTTTCTTTGCTAGTGATCACTTTGAAGTGATTTTCATCCCTATGGACTCAGGTAAGCAACCACCCAGTTTCCTGAAGACCAGGAGAAAGAGTTGAAAGATCCTGCAGGAGGTGTGAGGAAGGTGCAGATAAGTAGGAATGTGTGGTGACTTGAAGAAGAATTTGCTTAATCAAAGTTTAGGTTAATATGTAGAAACCTGTCTTTGTGTCTCAGCTTTCATTCTGACAAGTTTCCTCTTAATGAAAACATCCAAGGTTTTGGATGCTCTAAATTGAGCAGTCAGTGGGTACTGTACTAAGCCAGCTGTGCAGTCTGCATGAGATAGAGATGAAGTGTACAAACAGATTATAATGTAATTTTTATAAGGTGTCTGGTGTTATAATACCACACTGTCAACATCCATGGCAGCACAGCACAGAGAACTGGCAGTATCTTGGGGTTGTCTTGGTTCTTGCAAACTCACTGTCAGACCTAACCTAATCCCTGGTATGCACATTGGCATTAGTGGAATGTAGTTTGTAAGGATGATTGATAGCATCTATGCCACTCCTGGCGTGTGAGTTTTGTTTTAAAATCCAATTTTCTTAAGTATGCCAGCTATAAAACTTGGTTGTCTACGGTCCCAGCTGCTTATTTCAAAGCCTGTGGTGGAAGGGTGTTAACTCTTTACTGCTCAGATGATGGAGGATGAAGAAGCTGCAATGAAAGTTGGTTGGTTGGTTGCAATTGTCTCCCATGGAGTTATTTCACAAAAATAGCTGGATCTGCAAGCTGAAAAGCGAGAGGGTGAATTTAACTTCGTAGAATAGGTAAGTACTTCTATATCGTGTTACTGTTTCCAGGTATCTTAATCATAGCGCAGAATACATTGTGTTGTCTTTGTTCTTTGACAGGGAGAGCTTTGAAAACCAGGAAAGACTGAAAGGCTTCTATTTCTTTTTTAAGTGTTCTAAATGAAATTGTGGGGAGGAAGTATCTGGAAGAGCCGCATAGCAAAAGGAGTTTGTAAAGCTGCTCTGGAAATAATTCTAGTGACTAATTATGAAGTGTTACTTTTTTTTTTTTTTTTGTCTTTCAGCACAAGAAGAGTGCTCTAAGAGCAGTCAAGAACCTTTTCAGTTAGCATGAACATGTTCTTCAACCAAGACATGGCAGCAGTTCAATAGCAGTTACACAACAGGAAAGGGTGTGCAGGCTGCTGCAAGTCCCTGGGTTCATAAGATCTGGTATCTGAAAGAACTCGCTAGAGAGAAGTCATGGAAAAACCCACATTCTTCTATCTTGAGTTGAAAAGAGAGCTAATAGTGAAACTGGAAATCAATTTCATTGTAGATACTGGAGATGATCATCACAACGTGCAGGAATTAAAAGTGTTAGGACACTGAAAAACTGCAGGTAGTACAGGAGACTCCAAGACTCCAGTTGTGCGAAGTTCCCTTTTGGGAACTTCAGGAGGGGGGGAAACTTGCTAAACGCAAGGAGACTCAAAACATTCTCTGGCTGTTCTTAGCTGCACATGAATATATCTCTTAAGGTGGGATGGTGTGACATGACCACTGAAGACCATAGGGCTGTAAGCAGACCACATTTCTCTTAAGAGCATATGTGCCGCTACCCAGTTCAGAAGCACCCCAACAGCTTCAGGTTTTGTCACATAATAGTATTTCCTGGGACAGTAGCTTTTCTTAGTCCACCTCCTGCAAAGCCAGCTGGCTGATGGCAGCACTGCGGTGAAGATGAGCCTTCCCCACCCACAAGTTGCTGCAGACTTGCACAGAAAATGACTCAGGCTCCAGAGCTGAGCATAAATCCTTCAGCTGCCACTGTTGTAGTTTTAATATACACAATGGGTGCCCTGAGTGCTTCCATGTGGAACAAGAAACATTCAGGCTGCGTGTTTAGATATACTTTGTGTGTGCACTGCCCTCTGCAGCACAAAGCTTGATCAAGCCCTGGTATTGCATAAAACAAGTGGAGGTACCGTGCTGAAGTTGTGCTTGGAGTGGACTTCACTCAGTTGCCACTGATCATGGAAAGGTCTATTTTTGTTGTGTAGTGGTAAACCTGAGTTGGTAAGTGATACTGCTCAGCTGATGTGTGTGTCTGTGCCAGGTGAGCAGTCCATGACCTGACAAATCATTGACCGTGGTACTAGCTCCGACTCCTTTCAAAATAATAAAAAGGGGACGGAGGGGAGAGGCAGCAGAGGATTTTTTAAGGGTCACATAAGTTCTACTGAAATTAGAAGCGCACTCAAAATACCTTAGTGAAAACAATACATTTTAGGAAATGATGACTCCTATGGCGAGAGCAATGTGAGCCTTTAGTTATGGCAAGCTTCCAATACTGTTCCTTGTCCCTATTTTTGTGAGGGTGTGGGTGAAAAGTGTTAGACACAGGGAGAGTGATAGCCATAACCAGAGGTTAAAATTTAATTTTGGCAAATATAGCTTTATTTCAAGTGATGCACCATTTTTTTCTTATAAAGTCCTGCAAATAAATTGTAGGCTGGAGTCTCTGATTATGCATGCAAGTGTTCTCAGGTTCTCCAGCTTTTTCGGTGCAGTGGTGCAAAATTTCATTTTGGCTCCTATATGATTCAGCTTAAAATACTAGCTTGTACAGGTGAGTACCTAAACAACAGTACTGCAGTCAGAGCACTCCTTAGTGCACACAAGCCATTTCCTTTGGGTAAGTGAACAAGCACACAGCTCCTGGGACAGCAGGATTTGATAGAATACCAGATAGATGCCAGAATTCCCTGGGTTTATACTCTTCTTTGGTCTTTTTACCCAAACTTTTAGCTTTTCTATTCATTGTCACTAGTTGGCTCTTTTCTACCACCTCTTTATTTCTGGGTTGGGGTTTTTTTTGCCATTTCTTTTGCAAGTGCCTCTTCCTGGGAGACTGGCAACCACAGTGAGTATCACAGTTCCTGGCCAAGTTTCTGCTCACATGGTTTCACTTGCTCCGTGTTATTTACATGCAGTGTCCTAAGCATATAATTTAGTGGAGTGCTAGTGAGTAGCTAACCTTCGTGTCTTGGCTGCAGTCCTCATAGGTTAGGTTTGCACAAGCCTCCTGCTTCATGCATTCAATGGCTGCTCTTTTAGCCTTTGATTTCCTGGTGCACAGTTTTATGGAAAAAAAAAGTCTTGCACTGCTCTTGCAGCATATTAGGGACTGGCACACTAGGGTTGGTCATTTTACCTGCTGAGTTGCGAGACCCAGAACTGCTGCTGAGCCTTGTTTTGCATGCACAAGACCTAGGGCTTGCAAGGTGAGAAGGATATGTTCTTTAATAGGTCTGATGTCCTGCAGGACAGGAAAGGTTTTTCTAAACGAGCATGGAGGTGTGAAGCTGGTGACTTACTCTGCCTTGCTCAAGGCAAGTCTTACTGTCTGGTTGTGGTTTCATGCATATCAGAGCCCTTTTTTTTTTTTTCCAGTGGAGCCTCTTTGGTCATGCATTCCTAGGAGGTGTATTACTTGAGCTCCCTGCTTTGAGCTCTTGAACAATCTGGTTGCATGATGCAGAGGCTGTGATGGTGCTGCTAGTTTAAGGAGTTGGTGTTACCATCTGCTGCTTGCCTTCCCATACTGCAGTACACTATTCCCTTTTGTGCCAGTGCAACTACCTGGAGCGACATAGCAAGCTACTGAGGTGTTGACACACAGTCCCTGTGTGTGCTTTTCTGTGGATCATGGTAGAAATGGAGGAGGTTTGCAGTACTGCAGCTTTATAAAGCCTGAATCAGGTTTGTGAGCTGGTTTAGAGCATTTGCAACACAGCACAAAAACCAGGTGGCCAAATGTATGGCAGAAGCCAGAAGTCCTTGGGCTTGTTGAAGCCTCTTTTCATTAAATTGTGCGTTTAAGGGTGCACTTCAGTTTGTGGGGGGGAAGCAGGAGGATTTCCCTTGTACACTTGGGTGCTTTTGTTAACTGTTTTTCTGTGTTAGGTCTTGTGACGCAGCCTTTTTGTGGTTTTGCTGCATGTAACCTGACCAGGCAGCAGCAGCTCAAGAAACCCTGTCTGTAAGCAGCACTAGTTCAGTGTAGTCCAGACAAATCTCAGCGTGAACAGAGAGCTGGAGTAAGACTTGGAACAGTTTTAGGTGTGGGTTTGTTTTTTTTCTTACTGAGAGTACCAATATATTTTCCTATGATGGAACTAATTCTTACATTCGGGGAGTTACACATTACCCCTGCACACATAGCCAAATATTATTTTATATTTAAAGGCAGAGTAGGTCTGCAAAAGAATTAGGTATTAAAATGTTCCACGTATAATAGATGAAAAGCTAATCCCAGTTTCCTCCTGCTGCCAATGAAGTTGGCTGCTCTGCCATGAACTCTTACTATGCAAATATGATTTCCTGCCTCTGTTGTGATAACGGTGAATGTTGCTCTCTGGTGAGGACAACGTGGTGGCAGCCGTTACAGAGTAATGAGCAGTGGCTTCACTGTACATGCTCTGCTTTAGCGGATGTCAGCTAAAATAGCAGTTGCATCTCCCAAGAGTTAGATTGTTGCTGCTCCTAACCTTTGTAGAGAAACATGCGAAGTACAGGCAGGCGCAGTCCTCAGGTGATTTGGCAGAGGGTGTTGCGCAGCCAAGTGGGTACTGTGCCTCACCAGGGATGAATGGCAGGGATGAGCTTTACTAGCTCATATCAGTGAGGTCCATTTGGCCTCTTGCAAACTCCTACCCACTGAAAGCTACTTTGACCTCCAGGGTAGATTGTGACTGGAGCAACTTCTGTCCCAGTGCTACGTCCTGTAAAAAAAGGAGGTGAGGATATGGACTTTTAGTAGGCCCAATGAAAATAAATGGATTTTCTTTTCATTATAAATAATATATTTATACAGTAGTTTGTAAGTATTTTTATAGCGTCAATATATTTATAAATACATATCTGGAAATACATGCATATATGCATATAAAGGTATATATTTAAATACATTTGTATACATTATTGTGTAATTCATAATTTACACTTCATAAAATATAAATTATTTGGGAGAATCATGGAAAAGTAGAGTAGCTTTGTCTTGCTGACAGAGATAGAGAAGCTGTTCCCTCTTGAGAACAAATCAAACATGAATGTCTGGTCCCCAACAAATACAGTTTGTGTTAATTATTTTGTTAAAATATCCAATGACATCTGTCTTTTAAGCTCTCATCCTTGAGAAGGTTATTTGTGGATTAACCTTGTCATGAGTATTGAGGCATGTGATATGCTTGGCCATGGAACCAGGTATGTGTGGGGTCTCTCACAAATTTCTGTCAACACTTTGAGTGTTGTGGCTCTGTGGGTTGGATAACATTGCTGCCATTCTTTCTGAGTGGTGGTGCAGCTTCATTTACATGGGTTTGACAGTGTCTCAGGTATCCCAGCCCTTTGCTATAGGCAGTTCTTCATTATCCGAAGGTAAGTTTAGGTAAAAGTGACGTCAGCCAAGATGCTGGGTTTGGAAGATACCAAGTTTGGAAGATGCCTGCTTTGTTGTGTGGTATGAATGCGACTCTTGGGTACTGTTGATGTACCAGTCTTATTCCTCCCAAAGGAAATGTGCACCCTGAGCTTTCTCACTGCTGTGGTAGTGCTTTATGTGTGCAGCCTCCAGGTAATGTTCACCTCTGTGGAATGCAAAGGGATGGCTACCTCAGTCTTCCCTGAATTTACTGCTCTGCAGTCGGTGACATAGCAGGAAAAGCAAAACATTATTTTGTTCATGTCCACCATTGACAAATGGCATTTGGTTTTTGTCATCATTTTATTTCTAGCTAAGTGTGTGCCAACACAGAGGTTTTCCATGCTTTCATTTTTTTTTTTTTTATCTACTATCTCCTTGTCACCCACATATAGTACATCATTCTCAGTGCTTAGTGTGTCAAAAGCCCTAGGACAATTTCCATATGTTAGCTGTGTGAAGATGGTGATTCTGCTGGCTTCAGAATTGCAGCTACTGCATTCCATCATTATAAAGAAGAAAAAAAGAAAGCTTGGAGGAAAGAGCCCCTGCTTTGCTTCTGAGTCTTGAGGTGGTGGGGGGAGGGAGAGGGGACAGATTAACAACACTTAAAAAGTAGACAAAAAATGCTTTCCATGTGCTGAGATTCATATTTTTAACCTTTGCATTTTAAAATTTCAAAGTAGCACTTTCCATTTCCTAAACTGAGGACACCTGAGGAGAAACAGATCTCTACAGCCAATTTCCTCAAATACTGCAAAGACACAAGTGCTCTTTTGGAAATGTCCTGTAAAAGACCCACTGTATTTTTGGGAACCAACTTGTCACAGCTAAAATACAACAGTGTAAAAACCCATCAGCAGGCTGAGAAACCCAGCCCTTCTTACATGTTACATCTACAGTGTTCTCTTGGAAAACTAGCTGACACATTTTGATGAGGAGAATCAAAGTGCCTCTGTAGTGTTCCCCTGATTTTAATACATTCATAATCATATTGGAAGCCATCTCTAGATAAATGTAACTTCCTGAGATGGCTTTAACTACTGACCTATTTTCATGTAGCCCATTTGTGACATCATCAGATATGTTCACATTTCTGAGGCCAAAATATAAGGTGGCTTTGTGTTATTTATTTAGAAAATTAAAATCATAAAAGGAGCCCTAATTTCAAATATAGTGACTGCGTGCAGGTGGTTATACAAGTCAGTATTCGGGCAGGGTTTGTGGTTTCTTAGCCCACCAGTTTTACCTACAGAGCAGCAAAGAGAATGCGGATTGTGTTAGCAATCTTCATATCTCCCCTGTGGCAGACTCTCCTGGGCCATTGCTGTAAGCTGGAACCTGGGCTGGATGCCGCTGTGAAGGGAGTGGGGGAATGGCAGAGCTCTCCATTGCAGAATCACAAATGGGCAGAGAGGGTGTTCTATCTTTCTATCTCCCCAGCTCCCTACCAGATGGTTGAGTCTTCAGAGTAGCCGGATAGTCTGTGGTGCTGCAAAATGCCTGTCAGAGATGTTGATCTCTGCTAGCTCTGACACTGATAAGGCAGCTGTAGCTGCTGGCCCACTGTGCTGGTGGGTCTCCGCCAGCAGAGAGTGGCTTTAAGACCGTTTATTTATTGCTTTAATGTTTAAACACTGTAGGGGCTGAATATTGAGCATGATGACCTTACTGCTTCCTATCTTTCCTAATACTTCATCTTTAGTTAGTAATTGTAAGAAGGATCTAGAAAATATTTTTCTCACTGTTTTGTTTCTGTTGTTTTGTGGGTTGGTTTGTTGTTTGTGGGGTTATTTTTGTTTGACTGGGTTTTTCTAGCATCATTCTTCCAGTTAAGAATAACCAAAAATAACTAAATTTAGGAAGACAGATTTGACATAATGTTGGTGATGATTTGAAACTACTTTAGCCTAGGACCAAAGTACTTGAAATAAATAATTGAATAAGCTGTCAGTGTTCTAGCATTTATTAACGATTGAAACATAAGCCACTCACAGGGAATGAAAGTCATCTCGCTGAACTTCAGACATGCAGCAGGTGCCTGGTCTCAGTGTGGGCTTTCCTTGTACTCTGTGGAGAGGACTTTACACTTACCGAGGTTGATTTCAACACCTCTTATCCTAATTCATGAGTCTAAAGTTTACAGAACACAAGCTAGTAGGAGCCTGATCCCAAACAGCATTTGTGCCTGTATAATTATTCCCATGTGGAGTCCCACTATATGCGACAGTTAATGACTAGATAGTTAATTATGGGAGTAACTTAGGTAGGAATGGGCTCATGTCTTGTGCCTGTGTTGCAGAGAGGCAAATTTGTCTCTTGAGATGTCTGTTCCTTTCTGTTGACTACAGAGGGAGCAGAGGTTATAGTAGCTCAGTGTTAGACATCTGACCTACACATCTCACCCGCTGCGCCTGCAGGCTG